ATAGAGAGAGAGAGAGAGAGAGAGAGAGAGAGAGAGAGAGAGAGAGAGAGAGAGAGAGAGACGCTGGTGTTTGATGGTTACTGCTAACTGCAGGGCCTATACTTGTCTTAATGAATCTTGAAGTGGAACTTTGCTATTAATTAAATAACATTTGGCAGCATAGGTTCACATATACACTTTGAAGAGTTGCATGATTATTCATATTGAGCGTTCTCTCATTATATACAGTGTATTTTTGTTTTAATCTTGAGTTGGCAAATTCATGTAAAAACTTAAATTAATAATAATGATTTTTAAGTTAATAAGTTGAAAGGGAAACAAGAACGAAAGAACTGGATTGAAAAATTACTTCCGGGTTAGTTCAAGGGGTCATTGGAATTAGCTTCCTGAGTTTATTCTCTTTAGCAGGCAAGGCTTTGTTCCTGGTTTGGGTTGTCAGCTATTTCTATTGATATTCTTATGGATGTTTTAGCTGTAAGTTGTTTTAGTAGTTTATAATACTTTCTTGATGTATAGGTTATTAACTGTGTATACTTGATCCTTGTTGTTTGTCGTGTACAATGTAAATCAAGAGGGCAATACCCTTCCTCATTTCCCAGACAGCAGTGGCGCTGTCTTCAACTTCATCAATCCGGCTATTTTTCTGTATCTGAATCTGACCAATACTTTGATACCTTCACATCAAATCGAGATGTATTAGTCATCTCAAAAAAATTGTTTGCTGACCAGTGCAGCTCTAACCAAAACAATTTCCACTCTCAAACCTCTTTGTGAGCAAGCATACAAAATAATAGTAGTAATAGTGTACTCTGGCTGAAGCTGTCACTTGTCATATTAATTCATGTCAAATTGTGTTAAAAACAAATTGTCCCTATTTTGTTTTCCATTCACTTCCTCCATTCTAGATTCTAGATCTAGATCTAGGGAAGCTTTACTTCTGCTTCTCACTGCCTAGATCTAGTGCTTTGTTTTTTGGCCGGCTCTATTTCTCCGAACGTTCGGGAAAATAAACTTGAACTCTATTTCTCCGAAGGGTTTCCGTTCTCGAGATTTGTTGATAATAAGCGAATGGAGTGGCCCGTGTGTGTGTTTGTGTGTGTGTGCATGTGTGTGAGTGTGTGTGTGTGTGTGTCTGTGTGTGTGTAAAGTTTAAACGGGTGTGTGTGTGGGGGGGGGGGGGGGGCGTGGAAGGTTTTTTTTTACATGAAGGATTTTAGTTTTTGCTGGGTGACTAAATGCAATATATGTTACTGTCAGGGTCGAGCAGTCTCGTTTTCTTGCAGTACCTTTTGAAGGTATTTTCAAATTAAGGAAGTATAGTCCGGGAACGTTGCCCCAACCACAACTGAAGCACCTGAATATTCAGACATTTAAAAATCTCTAGTTCTAGATCTAGGTCTAGAAATTGAATTTGATGCAAAAAATGCTTACTTCCCAGTCCTCACAGAATGGCAGAATGAAAGGATGATGCCTAAAACTCGCAAATAACCCCAAAAATCTCGAGACCGGAAACTGTTCGGAGAAATAGAGTTCAACTTTATTTTCCCAGAACATTCGAAGAAATAGTCACTTCTTTGGGGTTTTTTCTTATAAATCTAGATCAAAATCTTGTACCCAAAGACGCTGAGGTTTTTACTTTTCATGGGAGTGAATAGCCTTAATTATTTTCCCTAAATATTCACTGTGTCAATCTTTGGGCCTGAATCAGCGGTTTGGGCCTACTCTACCTGTGGCGGTGGGTAGGCAGGGGTCCCCTTTTCAGGCCAACTGAAGAGGTTCCTTCACCCTTTGGTTTTCTGTCTTAAGAGGTATTTAAACCCTTGTTTTAGAAACTTACTTAAAGGGTAAAAGTCAATTAGATCTCTATCTCCTAATTTTATAGTACAGTAAGAATTCAGTAAGAATTTTTGCATGATAACATTTAACTCACACGCACATTCGCACAGACATACACAGAGTGACCCTGACTATGATTGAATGCTAACGATTTTTTATTAACTTAAGGTTTCATTGTAACAGCAAGAAATAAATGAGTAATATTGACTAAAATTAGAGTTGTATCCCTTTGGATGGGGGAAGGGTGGTGGTGGTTGGGCCGATCAAAAATAAAATAAAGTTGACAAACCAATTCCGACTAATACACAAAGAAAATCAGACCTGCCACTATGAAATCTCATTATTATATCTCAGGGGATCAATGACAAATCACCAAGGTCACTGCCAAACTGACTTAAAAAATTTCCAGGGATATCATATATATATATATCCATGTATACCCTCTGTGAGAGCAAGTGTGTGTGTGTGTTTTATCATTGTTTTTTTTAACTCCTGAAGTATCACGTCAAGCTCTCCTATAAGTGTTTTAGTGTCCCCCCTCCCCCAGGATAAGTCCCAAAAGACGCATCAGCGGGTGTGCATGAACTTAAATTGACCCGGCCAACGGATGGTCCCCGACACACACGGAACTCACTCGTCGAAGTTACGTGATGCGAACGCATGATTGAAACAGTTTTACTGACGTGACTTGATGACGGGCCCGGCTAACCAGAACTCGGACAAAGCTTGTTTTGAAAGTAATTGCAGAACTACGAGAATAATATTGATCATTTGTGTGTGTTGCAATTTAAACAGTTATCAGGCCATCATCTGGGAACTCTAAGTTGAAACAAAAATAAAAGCGAAAGTGATCTAGATCTTGAGAATGTCCCAAGTCAGAATGCCAAACCAATACTACTTCCATTATTCATGTACTTGAAATAAGACATGCGTACAAAGATCCAACACAACTACTAAAATCGGCATCGACATTTTGGAAAATAAATAGTGCTTCAAGTTTAACGAGTGCTTTCCACAACAGAAAAGAAGACAGAGTTAAATTTTAGAAAAATTCGGCTCAACAGACGGAACCAAAAAAAATCGGGATACACGCCATCAAAATCGGGGAAAATCGAGATGCTTGAAATTTGCAAAAAATCTGGATATCCCGATTAAATCGGGATGAATGGCAGGTTTGGAAAATAAAGTAATTCATTATTCTTCAGAGCCATCCCAGTGTTCACATTCCAGACTTTCCATACTTTTGATGGCGGACAATTCATGTTTACTAGATCTAGTGTGTTAAAGAAGGATGGGGGCTAATCTCAAGGCAGGGGTAAACTCAAGACACGACACCAGCAAATATAATGCGAGCGACCAGAATGTGGATGGAGCTTCTCTGCTCAAGCACGCCGGTGTCGCCCGAAACTGCGCGCAGCTGATACAGGCTAAGTAGATTCTAGGTCGACTGCTTCTGACAGAGTCACAGGCAAAAGGTGACCTCGGTGTCATGTGTGTGGGTGTGTTGTTAAATCACTGACTCGGCTTCGGGGTAGAGAAGGGGGAAATGATGCTTGCCAGACGCACACCACCTATGTTTTAAAGCATATGCAAACCCCCGAAACGTAATTTTAAAGGGTAACGCTCACGCACCACCAAAAATTAAAGGGGGTAATTTGCAAGTTTAATGCGTAATAAACGCACATCTGTGCGTAATGGGGAGCCCAGTAGTGAAGGGCTCACGGGCTTGAGCCCCACGCCCCAACGCTATCCCAAGGTAGGCCAGTAATGAAAGTTTCTTAAATATTGAAATAAGCAGTTGAAACTGTTATGGCCACACACAATGAACACAGAGTGATCAACTTGGCGGCTTGCTCGTTTGTCCAATCACTGTTGTCACCGCTTACAACTATAGTGACCTAACAGCCAATCAAATGTCTTTAGGGCTTAGCACAGGATGAGCCCATTCCCACGCCCCCTTCTGTAATGAAACTCTTCTTGAAAGAAAGGTAGAGGACTGGAAAAAATAACACTACTCAGGGCTCACGCTCTCCTAGCCCTGACGGTAGGGTGAAAGTTTACGACACACTTTCCCCCAGTGACACAGATACTTACACGCTCATTGGACCCTTGTTAGATGCGTTCTACTTTACGCGACTACACTCAGCCAATCCAGCCCATAGAAGGTTTGAAGTGCTGTGTGTGTATGTTTATGTTTGTTTGTGCCGCTGAGATTTAACAGGGTTATAAATTACTTCAATCCACTTTTAAGGCAACTTTTTCATCCAGAAGAATCTAGCTTAAAATTAAGAGACGGAAGACAAGGTGACTCTTCTCGTTTGAATGGTTCTCAAAATACTGTGGCTCACCGAGAGTATAGAAAAATCAGTACTGTTTTAGGCTTATTGCTTGCTATTTGGTGGTAAAGAAGTGTCAGCATCCTAAGCCCGACCCAAATTTTGGTCCACCCACCGCCACTGTACTCTACGGTCTCTTACTGTTAATCACTGACACTGTTCTATGCTGCTGGCTGCTTTTTTCAGTTTCAACAATGTGAGACAAAACATAAACTGATTAAAGTAGTAGCATCATGCTTTGACTTGTTAGGGCATTGGTGGTACAGAGAGTCTCATGATTGCTTTTTTAACATTATTTTTAAATCATTGTACTGATCAAACTTTTCAGCCAACAAGCGAAGGACAAAGGGCACTGAGCTCTCTTAGTCAGATGTTGATCTAAAGATTTTGTAAAAGCCACTTCTATTCGGACTCGAGTCCGATCAGATTTTTTATTTTTTCGGACTCGGATCCGAAAATGGGTTTTATCTGTTCGGACTCGGGTCCGAAAAAAATGTTTTATTTATTTGGACTCGGCTTCTAAGTGAATTATGTGAGTGTAAGGCAAGGAGATTTCATATATAACTGTCTTCAGGGGATTTTACGTTAAACCAGAATTAGAACTAGAATTACCTACTTGGACTGTGTAACTGTGCGCAATGGCAGTGTCTACATACACGGTAACCGACAACTCAGAGTCAACATTCACGGAAACCGGCCCTGGGCGCCACTACCAGTCAACAGCATCATCATTACTTCCACCATCATCTGTTTTTCCAGATGTTAAATTTCATTTTGTTGTAATAGTTTTTCTGTTATTGATTTTTTAAATTTTTTATCACATCGCACAAAGTCGACAGCCGTGGCCTCTTCCCAACACCTCTTCCCCCAGCAAGCTGAGAGTGTGTGATCGCTATGTGCGATCTTGTTGGTCGACATATTTAACTTTGCCCCCGGCAAGTTCAACTCAACTTGATTCTGTTCAGGGGGGGGGGGGGGGGGGGGGCAAGTTTAGATTAGATCTAGATCTTGTAACTGATTAAAGTTCACGTTTCAATTTTTATCATATTATTAAATAAAAAATTTGTCATAAATGCTTGAAATATTTAGGAACAAGGATAGATCTAGTTGTGTGGTAATTGCCACATATATAGTGAAATTTAGAGGTGTAATATTCGGTTGTGTCAATTTATCGAATACGCTGCCTAATCGGTCCCTTTTTCGTTGTGTTTTGCACTTGTCTATAATTGGTATCAACAGGGTACGTATTCTGGATTTTTTTAAAAATGATTTTTATTGAAGGCCAGCCTAAAAATCTTCATAGGATAAAAATGCGGCTCCTTTAGAAAATGCCATCTTACCCCAAGTCCCCAAGTTGTGGAAGAAAGTCAGAGTCTGAATCACGGGAAGTCAGAAGTGACGTCATGCTGGACTCGATGATTCAGAGTTGGAATGCAATTTTTGTTTATTGAGACTCAAGTCCGAATATTCACTTTGTGTAAAATTGTACAAATTTAGAATTGCTATTTTTTATAATCCTTAATGTGGTACACCGCTGTCATCTAACCCTTTACAGTCACACAGCCAGCTGTACAAAATACCCCATCTAATAGTCACCTAGCCGGGAGAGCAACTGCAACGGACTTCTCGGGCCTGGCGCAGTTGACCAGAGAACGGATTATTTTCACCGCAAGTGACCGCCATGTGTTAATAAGAATTTATAAGGCAAAGCAACATTACTGTGGATTTCATGATTTTGAGAAAAGTAAAATAAAAGCCTTTAGACACTTGACTTAATATGTCTACAGATATGAAATGCTTCTTAAAACATGGTTGTGGTTGAAAGTAGAGATACAATGTCACTGTACCATTGATAGTGGCGGGCAATGGCCAATGAGATTAAGATCAGTCACTATGTCTTATCACTTTGAAAACTACTGCAGTTGAACCTGCCCTGACCACTTCATTGCCAGGGGGTGTGCGTTCCTAATGTCAGCACTGACTTTCCGCTAAGCTCGTTAACCAGGACAGCAGTCTCAGTTTTAGTGGACTCACTATCTAGATCTAGCCCACTACATATTCAGAACCCGGGTATTCAATAATTATAAAGTCACTTTCCTCACTTTATTTATTCCCAATATTCCCCGTTTTACCCATAATTTTTTAGAAATTGCAAATATGAGCCAAAAAGTGAAATTGTTTGCCCTTTTAAAGTTATTTTGGTGTAAACATTTTTCAAGATCACATGTTCATCCACAGACTAGACCTGTGACTGCATTTATAATGTATATCTCTTGCAAGCCCAGCAGAAAACTAATTTTAGCAATTTGGCACAGATGTACGCTTGTACTATTCCCGAATACGAATCCACTCTGTACTTGTGTCTAAATCTCTGTGTTAAAGAATTAAAGCCAGATGATCAGTGGGATGTACTTAACCTCATATAGGCAACCAAGAATAGCAAATTTTGCCAGCTTCAAAATTTCCAGGATGTGATTCAAAGCTTAAAAATTACAAAAATTCAAGGCGCACCAGTAAACAGAAACCTGTATAATAACGGAATCTCCCCTTTCCCCCTCGATAATCTATCAAATGGAAACCTAATCTAGGTAACCCTTGATCCTACTTTGCACAGGTTGGTCCTCCGGACCCCACTCCATAAAATCTCCTTTCTAAATCAGACAGAAAATGTTTAGACGAAATTTTTCTTTCTGGCTCTCTTGTGATTTTGTATTGGACAGGTTTAACTGTAATTGGAGTGGTTCTATACATCATCTTGCCTTTGACACAAACAAGGATATGGCGAGACTAACAAAATGAACCAATGAAACCCCCAAAACATATATTTTGTCAGATGTACATATATATGCCTTGGAATGGCATTATAGCTGGATACTGGTTGATCAGATTTTTGTGTGTTTCATTTCCTGATTGTGCAACTGAGTTTAACCGTTGAACAGAAGTGGAGGTTCTTGCAGCTATGATCACTGGCAGTCTTTCATTATTATTTTCTCCACCATTTTCACAAAATTACCAATCCTTTAGAATGTATTTGTTTGATCATAGCATATTATTATCGTTCTGTGTATAATGCATTCATTTCTTAAAATATCTGCCAGTAAACTTTTTTTTTCTATGTCAATTTATAACAAAGACTGTTACTTTACAAGCTTAGTCGCAGTGCTGAGGATATTATTATTGATAACGATTTCTTTGAGCAATATGGATTCTGAGGTCTACTTCTGCTTTTCTATCCAGTGACCTTTCTCCTTTTCTTCCCCTCTGAGATTTTATCTTTATAGCATATTATAATTTTTTCTTTCTTTTCAGGTTTGTTGGTGTTGGCTGATATAAGGTTCACCATCAAGGTTCCAGGTTCCAAAATAAAGATGTAAATGGAGCAAGGAAGCTGACTACAGTGTGCAGTGACTTTCACATGCAGTGCTGTCTTCTGCAATTGGAACATGAAACTTTTAGTCAAAAAAGAAGAGGAATATTCTTGACGGTGGCTTGATTAAGAGAGAATCTGTCATTAAGTGGAAATATCACCTCTAAGGTTTCATTTTTATTTTCATGTTCATACAGTTTTTATAACTGACAACATGGGAAACTGCTTTTCTAGGTCCAACACGCCTGACTTTTCTAGTCCTCAATTCAAAAACAGCAATAGTGAGGATAACAATGGGTCCAAATCATCAGCTGGTGGCGATATTGGCAACAGAAATGCGAAGAAGTACCGCTACGAACCAGATGTGACGAGCAGAATCAACAATGGCACCACTACCAACTTTTCATCTAGTCATCAGAACTCTGCTGTTCACCTGCAAAAGCCTCAAGCCTTTCCTTCAGGTATGAAGCATTTTTATCCTAATATTAGGGATGTACAGCCTGCTGTCAAAAAGGCATGTTGACCAATTTCCATGGGTCCTCAAAGCACAGCTGAAAATGCCAAATTTCTTTGTCCTAAAAACCCTAAAAAAGTCAGAACGATGCTATCATATTTTTTCATAATTTCTACTTTTGCGTAAATTCATCATGTCTTTTAAAGACTTTGAATTACGAATTGTAATGAATCTTTTATCATTCTTCCTCCCTCTATCTGTAGTGTGTACCAGGAAAAGACTTCCTTATTTGTCTTCTCTTGTTCACCTACTTACTTGTTCAATCAGCATTACCCCTGAGTGTGCTGACTTTCGTAAGATTTTCTTTTATAACTTCCAACATAACACATTGTTCTAAAAAAATCCAGTGATGGATAAATGCTATTAAGGACCAGGGGAACGCATGTTGGGTACTGGAAAATTCGCGGTAGTACAGTTTTATTGCGACATTACTAAAAAGAATAGAGGGGCACCATAGTCTGAAGGTGTCACAACGGAAACAAAAAATAAATTCCGTTAAGAATTTGATAAAAAACAATCTGTTTTTGACAATTCTCAATCTTGAACTAAAAGGATGCTTCACTAATACATTTTTAATGGAACCCATATTTTTCTGAGTTGCTCTTTGTTGGCCTTTAATATACATGTAATACAGTGGTGATGTTTCAAAGCACAGTGATTAGAGTGTTGTGTTTTATTTCATTGACATCTGGAACATTTCTCCAGCTCAGGCATTAAAAAAATCAATCAATTAGATTTAGTTTAAAAGTAGATATTTCTTTGCTTAGAAACAGAGGACATTGTTAACATGATGTGGAAGATAAAAGGTTGTTTTTTTACCTGTTTTCTTGCATTACAGTCATATAACTACTGGGAGAAATTAGTGCCGCAATCATAAAACTTGTACTGGGATTAGGACTGAGAAAACTCTGGTGTGTCTGTTCAAATTCTTCAAATTCTTTGATAAAAAAGAAATCGGCTTAAAAAAGCATGTGAATTCAAACACAAGTCTTTTGTTTTTATAGTTGGTTTCAGGCAATGTCCTATGTCGTGGCTTGTTATTTTCTCTGTGCTACGGTACTATGGCATTCAGTGTGTGTGTGTGTGTGTTTGTTGTTTTGTTTTGTTTTGTTTTTTTTGTTTTTTTTGGGGGGTGCTTCCTCTTTTTTTTTTCACTCTCTCCCTATACGGTCAGGTACATTGTGTCAATGTGCTTCCTCTTTGACAAGAATAATTCTGTTCTTTTCCTTTATGATTTTGGCTAACTGCCCAAATAATTAACTTGATTGAACTAAGTCTATGGTCAACTTGCATCTGTGACATGCGCCATATGTACAGAAGCCACACCACCTTTTGACCAGTGGCCAGTCCCAATGTGTTAGATTTTTCTGTACATGTGTGTGTGTGTCTGTGTGTAAGTACAGGTTATTTGTTTGATTTCTGAGAAAATTATGCCGAAAGAGACTTTTGTACTACTACGTGAATTAAATGTACACAAAAGTATAGCTACAGTGCATGTCGGTGTCAGGAATGTTGAACCTGCATCTCTTGTGTGTTGGTATGAACCTCCAGGTAGAAAAGAACAACATCTGTTAAATTACAGTCACTGCATCTGCATAATCTTCATGTGTAGGTTTCAATATACACTAAATATTTTCAACTGTATTCATGATACTGACTGGAAAGTTTTTTAAAACATTTTACAACCATGAACAAATTTCTATAACACATTCATTACAAGCTAGTAGTTTCTACACTGGCATCTGTGGTATAGTGGTTCAGTTTTTCATTGCTGTATGCTAAAGGTGTGGGTTTGTTTCTCGTGCGGGAAAGTCAAACATGTCTATCTTTCTTCCGGGAAGCTATGGCCTTCTCAGCTTGAGTTAATCCTTGACAGGCAAGATCGAAACAATTTGTATCCTAAATATTGTTTTCATGGTGATAGGGAAACGTTTTCAAGCATCATTCAGTACTGTGTACTCATTTTAGGCTCAAGTGTGCGTAGCTCACACAATGGGTGGTTCAAGAGCACCACTAGTAGGTCCTACTTCTTTACTTTCTGTCTGGTGTTTCTGTCTGTCTTACTTTTTTTCCCAGTGCTAAATGACCATTATTGTGCCAATGTGCTTCTTACTCAAACGAAACAAAACAACCATAATTCACGTTAACTCTCCCTTTCAAGTACATGGAACAGAGTTAATGAATTGTAAGGAGCCCTTCTTCATTCTCTCTCACCAGAGTAAAGGCTATCAAAAATAGCTATCTGTCTGCTTCCATTTTCGACTTTAGTCTCCAAGTGAATGGTTGGCAGGTGCTCTTGTGTGGATTTTCTTTCCTATCAAACTTCTATCATTCTTATCTCACCTCCTTTTTTGTATTAAAAAAAAATTGTTACTTTCTTGTAATACCTCTAATCTTTTGCGCATATTTGAACTTTTTGTGTTGTAAGTGCAGTAACACTCTATAAAAAATAATTTAGTCTTCTCCTCTGCCCAGATGATTCCCATTTGTTTTAGATCTGAACATAAATCCCTCCTCCGAGTGCATTAAGGCCTTCCTCCTTTACTACTTCCTTGTATGTAGCTCATACTTTTAATAATCTATATTATGCTTTCTTTCAAAATGTGAATACAGTGAACCTAGATCTAGAACAACCTTTTCCGCCTCAGATAGATTGGTCATTTTGCTGAAAGCCCTGGTCTTAAAATATTTATTTGCTTTCAGTAAGTGTCAGGGCTCATATTGTTTATTGTGATGGTTAACTCCTTTCCACTGTCTTGTTATCATCTGGCCTTAATGTTCATTACTACAGAGCTTGTAAAATTACTTCCGTGTTGGTTTTACACAGCTGAAAATCGTGATGTGAAAAGGAGGATGTTGTCGTTTTTCAGCATAATGACTTGTGACAATTGTGGATTGTTAAGTGGGAATCTAGGAAGAGAATTTGACATGTCTGGATGATGGCTTGTGTGTCCTGATAAAGTGTGTAATCACTTTCGGCAATCAGATTTTGAAACTGTCTCATGTTGGATTTATAAGTTCGAGAAAATATATGATCTAATGTTTGTGAGAAAGGGGATGGGGATTGAGGGAGGGATTCTCTCTCTCTCTCTCTCTCTCTCTCTCTCCCTCT